CCAATTTGAAGTTCCACAGTTCAATCTCTTTGAAAGGTTTCCATTATCTCCTTAATGCACTGTGCAATCAGACATATTGTTCCTGGTAGTCCAGTAAGTCTGGCTCCTCCAAGCCTTCCTGAGAAGTGGGTCTCTAAAGTCTGCTCCTGGCTGAAGGCTGTCTTCAGGGAAAATTGCATTGATTTTTCTAAAGCCAGAGGTCAATCAGTTTTGAACTCCCAGATGTTACATGGTTCACTGATGGCACACATCTTTATTAGGCATCTACTCAGGGCTGCCTGTTGGATATCTCTTCTCTGCCTTTATAGACCCACTCTCCAGCCCTCTCTGTGACCCTGAGTTTGAACTGAAGAGACTGCTGGCTTTCTTTTGGGTTCAGTCTCAAGGAGCCTCAGCTGGCACCTGATGATGGAAGAAAGGTCAGGGGAGACATTGATTCTCCTGGCTTTCCTCAAAGGCGGTCCCCAGACTGGAGCATCTCTTCTCTGCAGGTTCGTGCTTTTGCTAGGTGCTCCTCTTCACACAACCCCTGTTTTTCCCTGGGTTCCAGTAATACATCCACATTGTCCTTCAAGCCTAAGAGTGACAACAGCACTCCTCAGTTACCAGCCCCAAATATGGCATACCTCTATGCAATAGAAGTCATGAGTCAGTTACTTTCTAAATAGCATCTTATTAAACTTCCTCCAATTGCTCCTGTTTTCCTGCTGGGACCTTGATTAATAGATAATAAACAAGCCATGAAATACCTTGCCCTTATAGAGTTTATATTCTAGAAGGGGAAAACAGATAATTAAAAATTAAATAAAATAAGCAAAAAAAAAGCAAGGAAATCATTTTTGTGAAAAAATTGTTTGATGGTGAAAAACTAGTGAGGTACAGCACTAGATAAGGTATAAGTGAACTTTTTAGAGGCAGTGATCTGTAATTTGGGGCTGGGTTGACAAAGCCCCAAGGGAGTATAATGTTCAGGTAGAAGAAAACCAGTGGCACAAAGGTCTTGATTTAAAAATGAGAAAACACAAAGAATTCAGAGAAGGCCATAGTAGCTGGACATAGAATTCAGAGAGCATAGGACCAGGAAGTCAGGAACATAAGAGATAGACCAAGCATCATGATGCCCAGTCTAGCACTGGTAATACGCAGCCCTTGAGGAGACTTACTAGTGATGCACATGTACCAGGATTGCTTTATTACATATGTCAGATTTTTATGCCTCTCTACCTAAAGACTCTAGAAAGACAGTAGATCAATAACAATTTCTTCCCCAATGGAAAATACAAGTCTTATTTGTATCTCTGAGTTACATTTCTTAAAGTATTTTATTATGTTTTTTTGAAGTTCTAGGCCAAACATTCTCCCCAGCCTCCAATTCTTTTTTTAAAAAACATGCCTTGGGCTTCTCTATTTCAGCTTGCCGCTTCCCATCTCTGTGCCTGTCATCTGAAATGTCTAGACCTGGGATTGTTTTATGGCATTGCAAAATTCTCTTCCAGAGAGCCAGTCATGCTTGAAGCTCATTACTTCTCAGATAGTGTCTCCCTTGTGGATTTTTCCCCTTAAAAAATGTAGAATCATTACCTTTGATATGATTGTAAGGATCAGAACCCTCACCGCAGGTGTCCAACTCTGGTAAAACTTTCTTCTCTCAGCCGGCTGTGTTCTGATCCCTTTAGCCCTGTCTGCAATGCACTACCATCTTTACAAGGCTGGTGGGAGCCTGCGGCACAGTTTCTGAATCTATACAGCTGAGTCTGCAACGGTATCTCCCCCCATTCCAATGATCACAGAAGAGGAAAAGGATCATCTTTGGGGAATTTTTTTTTAAAAATTATCCTTTAAAATAACTTTAACAAAATTTAAAATAAAAGGCCATATAAAGTATGTTTTCTCTTTACATAAATCTTTTACAAAGGCAGGGATGTTTTTGATGATTGAATCAATGTTTAGAGCCCATAATTCTATTTTATCAGTTTACTTTGCTCTTTGGATTAAGAGCATTTTGCAAGAAAAAGTTGTATTTCTTAATCTAATATTTAGGAAAGGAACTGTTGAAACATTAGAAATTCAGAATAGTACAGTTTTTGGGGAAGAGAACTTGCCCAATGAAGGACACTGACTGAGTGAGGCAAAAATCATTGGTGCTTTTCAGAATTCATTCCAAATTTGGATCCTTGACTTCCAATTGAAATTTTGGGGACAATAACAAATACAGAACACTCATAGTCATTTTCATACCAGAAAGAAAGACATGGGACCCGTCACAGGTGTAAATAGGTTACTGATATCACATCTTTAGTGATTTTGGAGTTCTGACTTAGGCATTACTGCACAGTAACCACTAGATGGCAGGAGTGAACAACATAAAAAATAAACTGCCTTCCAACATTTGAAACCAATTTTGAGTGTTTCCTTTTCTCCCTTCTCCATTTCTCATAAACTCTTGTGTTTCTTTTCATTCTTCCAATCTCTATATTCTTCATTATATTTGCATTTCCAGATATAATTGTAAATAACTGGTTCTTTAGAGTTGGATCTGCAAACCAGTCACATATACTTGTAATTTAGATACTAAAAATGCAAAAAGCATTTTCTCTAATTTAAGAGGTCTTTCATAACTGCTTTGTACTTGAGCTGGGGATAAAGCTTCAGAGGCTATCAAAGATTAGCAAGACTTCTGCTTTCAGTACCACGATCTCACTCTCTGGCAGGTGGGTGCGTGTAAGAGGATCAGCAGGACAGAAAATAAGAAAGAAATGCAGAGACCTCTGGGGCTCTGTCTGAACTGATAAGCCATATTTATCTCTGTAATATTATCAAAGAAGTGTTTTGATAATGATCAAGATGCTTAGGTAAAATTATCTGGAAAAAAAAAACCCACCCAAACAACCAACTAAAATAAGACAAAACAAAAACTAAGACAACATAATTCACCTGCGACAGCACTTAAGAAATGAGCTACCACCTTGCTAATTCATTTAATAGAGAAATCTGTTTGAGTGACAGCCTTGTAATAGAGCCCCATGTGCGAGTGTGATTTAGGCTTCTTCTTCTCTCTCCTTCTTGCAGTCATTGTTGTTCTCTGTTCAGTAAATCTTTCTTCCATTTATTTATTTACTCTTGTATTCTCAAGGGCTTTTCCTTTTGAAGACTAGGGTTCTGGTTTCATAAGCAAGAGAATTTGAATCTGTCCTCTAATCCTTCAATTATTTAAAGAGAGAGCGTCTTCAGAGGTTAGTGCTACCACTTGGGGGTGCTCCTTGAACACTGTTGCTATCAAGGGGTTTGGCCAGATTGATGGTCATAGTTCTTAAAACTGGGGGGAATTATGGCATTGAGAAAGAAATGACTTTCCTCTCTTCCTTTGTCTGTGTCTGTTTTTTAGTCTCTGTCACACATGCACGCACATATCCCCAAATACACAAATGAGAGAAGAAATCACACTTAAGCTAGTTTAAAAAGGAACCTACCCAAACCAGATGAGATTATTTTTATTGTCATGAATGTACTAAGTGTATTTTTTCCTAATGTAGAAGTTAAGTACCAAGCAATCCTCTACAGGAGGTTAAGGGAGAAGAAAAGACAGCAGGAGGGAAGTTGAAGTAGAAGTTGGAGAGGTATCATTGTGGGTGATGGTTGAGGGGTACAAGCAGATCATGCAGGACCTTTTGTGCCATTTCAAAAATGGGCTTAACTTTGAGTGACAAGGAAAAGCATTGAGGGATTTGAGCAGAGAAATGGCAAGACCTGACGAAGGATCATTCTGGCTGTTGTTTTGAGAAATAGGTTATAGTAAGCCAGGGGTGGAAGCAGGGAAATAATTTAGGAGAAAGTTGCAATAATAAAAGTGAGAGTTGAAGGGATCTTGAAACACACACACACACACACACACACACACACTCACACACAGAGTTATTTCCTTCAGGAAACTTTTGTCCAGTGGGACGGTTAAGAGAACAGACTGCTATGGTACAGGTAAGTGCTGCCATACTGGCAGGCACAGGTTATGAACCAGGAAAGCATGTGGGGCTGTTGGGAGAACATTGGAAGGTCTCTTCACCTAGCTGGGTGGAGACTGAGAGAACCAGAAGTCCTCCCAAATAGGGAGATAGTGGGGCCCTAGAAATTTTTTTTCCTCTCATTTTAGGACTCATATTAGAACTCAGAAAACTTTGATGAGATCAGCTTCTTATAGATCTTCAGAGTCATGTTCAGCAGAGTTTGGCCAATTTCAATTGGGACACATCAATTTTAAGAATGGAAAGAGCCCTCTAGTGACTTGCATCTATCCCTTTTACTTCCTACATTTTCCTGAACATTGACATAGAGCTTTGTTTTGAAAATTAAATATATTTGAGCAATATACTTTTTTTTGAAATGTTAATTGTCCAAATGAATATGTACTAATATTGTCTAAAGAGTTCCATCAATCAAACAGGAATGAGTTTTGTTTGCATTTCACCTCTTGTCAACAGTAATGACACGTATATAGAAAAGAAAATGATGAGACTGGAACAAATTTTATTTCAAAAGAAAATAATTACTTTTAGTGGAAATAGTCCTTAGTTTAGAGGTTCCTATTTGATATACTCTTCTGTGTGTGTGTGTGTGTGTGTGCGCGCGCACTCGTGACTCTATTAAAAGATATCTGAGATGCCAACTGTAGATATTCCAGGCCTTGTGCAACAGACTTGATAATGCAATTTTCACCAATAAAATCTTTGTAGCTTGTATATGAGTTCAGTAAAATTTCTAGGCACCAGTGTCTCCTTACTCTAATAATCTAAAAATCCCAGTCTGCTTTGGGTGAAAAAGAATATGGCAATTTCAATTTTTATAACCTTACCTTAATTAATCTCTTATCTTTTCTGTGGCCACTGGCCAAATTGGTACACATGTGGGCATACAGAATGACTTTTCCTTTTCTGAATACTTTTTCAATCTCTTTTATTACCAAGGGCTCTTTTACCTGACACACTCTTCCTTCTCTTCTTGTTTAGATAAAAATCCCACAGTTTATTCAGAGTCCAGCATTACTCCTGCAATACTACGACCAAACTACTACTTACTACTACTATTACTACTACGAACAACAACAACCATTATTTACAGGACAATTACTGTATTCTAAGAAACACCTATATCATCAAAACAACACTACAACCCTGCAAGGTAGATGTTTCTATTCTTTATTTTACAGGTGAAGAAACTCAGTAGACCTGAGGGTCAAGTTTCTTGTCTAGCTCAAAGAAAGAGTAAAATCAGTGTTCCAGCCCTTTGTGATGGAGTGAAAATTCCAATGCTTTTAATCATGGTGCTGTGATGCGTAGATGTTCCTGTGAACCAAAATCTCATTGTTCAAATATGATCACAGTTACTATCTCATCAGTTTATAATTATTATAGTGGATAATAAACTCTTTAAAAATAGAAGCTGTTTTTCATCCTCATAAATGTACATCACAGATTTTAAGTAAATATTTGCTAAATAAATGGGGAGATAAACATCCCTTAGAGCTCTTTGAAATGCACAGTGTTTTGAATCTCCAGTAGTGTTTTGGTCAGTTTGAAAATAGACCCATATATCTAGAAATTTTAAAAAACTACCTATAAAGAGTCACACAAGCCAGATTTGGAAATAAAATTGGTTGGTAGCAAATCATTTTGTCATTAATACTTCTGAGCAATAACCACTGGTATTACTGTCAATGATTAGGAATTATATGACATGGTTCTTAATTATTCCTGAGAGGTCACTCATTTTATTTCACCAAATAAGTAATTATTACAAATAAAGGGAATATGTTAAATTTTCTTTGGTGTTTGATATATTGGATACTCTTCACTAATATTTATTTTAGTGTTCTGAGAGTAGGTTATAAAGGTCTTCATTTCTGACAAATGTAATTTTACATTTGATATAAAAAAATTCCGAAGTTTCCAAATCATGAAACCTGATATAGTATGTATCTTTTTAAATTACATTTTTATTTGTTCATTGTAGATGTACATGATAGTAGAGTTTATTTTTATGTACATACATGGAGTGTAACTACTTCTAATTAGGATCCCATTCTTGTGGTTGTACATGATGTGGATTTCACTGTGTGTATACATGTATGAACATAGGAGGGTTATACTAATATGGTACATATCTTGATGCACAATACTTGGAAATTGTCACCTCTACTCCTCTCTTTGGGGTTCCAGTTTATGTTCTGGAGATTCCCATGTTTTTTATTGATTCACCATTGGTTTCTATCTAGTATGGAAACCATTCCAATTCTCTTGCACTTTTGATCTGTAAAATATACCTCACAATGATTATTCTTTAGCAAATATTAGGTGAGAAATTAAGCAGAGAAGGAGAGAGACACGTACAAAGACATGTAAGGGAATAAATATAAAAGAAATCTTTTTATTTGTAAAGGAATTCAGAATAGATCCTCTTGAAATCAAATGAAATTAGTGACTACAAGATGTGAGTTTTATTATCAAAAACTTAAAAGTATTTGGAAGTTTTGAGGAACACTAACAGTTGAATAGTTCTTTGATAATGATGGGTACTATTGTATAAACTTTTGTTGTTATACAAATAAAGCAGATAAAGCCAGGTATGTCTGAGAAGAATACTGATCACACCAGGGTGGTATAATCTGTAGAGCAGCTCTAAGCGAGGTGGAACAAAGCCCTGTCATTTTTGCAGGAGATCACATTTACTTTAATTTCTCTTTCTCAGATTCCTCAGCAGGGTCTCAAATATGAGTGCTTGGTATTACTTTTGCTTTTGTTGTTCAAAATGATAGGATTAAGACTTGTCTCCTTTATTGTATGCCTATTTCTTCCTTCGACTTTTAATACCATGTTTAAAAACAAAATATATGCAATGCCTTCTGGGGATGGATAAAAAAGTAGAAAATACAATATTGTGAATCTTTATAAAATCCCATTAACTCATTCATCTGAAAACACTGGAGCAAGCTGTGTACAAGATGTGTGGCAGGTGCTTACGGGTGCTATGGAGATGAACTCAACACTGTCTCTTCCCTTTATGGGTTACCAGCTTAGACTGGGGCTTCCCAGTAATTGCGTTTAACAGTGTATGAAATAAGCACTGGAAGAAGGTTGCCAACAAAATATGCTTTTTATGTAGGGAGAGATTATATTTTGGCTGGTTCATGGGGAAATGGTGCCTGAACCAGCATTTCAATGATGAAAAAGAAGGAAAGAAGTCCTTCTGAGTAAAGAAAATAATTGGGGAATGAATATCGCAGGGCATGCTTGCAGACTGATGCAAAGGCAGTGTCTATGTCTGTAAGAACATGGGTCAAATGGGGGATGGGAAGCAAAACAAGACATTTGCCTGGATGGGTGAATTCATTCATAGGTGAATTCATTGCCAGAGAATGAGGAACTATGAAGGGGTTTCTGTGCAGGGTATTAACAGATTAAAGCAGTATGTGGTAATATGAATTTGGTGCCAGCATTCATTGCTGAGGAGAGAAAAATTCTGGGCATTTAATTACAGGACAGTTGCAATGGGCTAATTGGGTGGTGTTAAGGAATAAACTTGGCTGAAAGTTGACATTTTCGGCTCTGAGGTCATAATTTGGAGAGGGGATGGTCTAAAATAATAAGGAGAATGTTTGCATGCATGGATCCATCTTCATTTATTCTGTGAACAGTTGAACACTTAGTGTGTGCCAGACATTGTGTCTATCCAGGTTTGAAAGATGAATGAGAGGAGCTCATAGTGCAAAAAGGGAGACAGATAGAATGATAATTCAACAGTCATACACATTGAGAGGATTTCCTTTCCTCCTAGTAATGCCATCAGTTTTCTCTTATCATCCTTATTTTCTCTCTTGGGTTGTTATAACCAGGCCAGAATCAGGGCCAAGTGAGTGATGTACCATTTTGGTAAAGAGGTTGGTTTTCAGTGGATGTAAAGGGTGTTTTTTTTTTTTTTTTTTTCTTCCCAGATCCTATTTACTGCCTGAGGCTTCATTGGCTGCTATTTAGCTAAGGATAAAAGAACCCAGACAGTGGAAGATGAAAGGAAGTGGAGGGGGAGGCTTGAAACCCTGCACAGAAGCACCTAATTGGCTAGCTTCCAAACCACCTCAGGCTTCCGCAAGATTTGACAAAGCGTTAAGATCTTGTTTTCAGGGACTGAACGTCTTTCAAAAGGGTGATAGATCCTCTTGCCAGGATAAAACAGAGTAGAATGAGCCCCCTTAGCCTACAACTGTCATCAATTTACTTTATTTGGACAGCAATCCACTGATGAAGAGGGCCTGAGCTTCTAAAAAAGAAGAGAAAAAATGCTTCTTTATTACTCACCAGTCTTTGGGCTCTGTCAGCAACACTGGGAGCACTTGCCAAATAAAATGATTTAGCAGGTGGAAAGTAGTTTATAAGTGCAGTTTCCACCCCTTCCCCGTGGAACGTAAACGATGACTCAGACACCAGCAGTATCTCGGGGTGTAAATGAGATTCTTTGGGTTGGTCTTCTGAGTTGGCTCATTGGCACAAGATGGAGCTGGGTTTTGCACTGACTGGATTAATGAGACACTCTGAAGTATAACAAGGGCACAGACAAGTGCCAGGCACATAGAAAGTGCTTAGCCCCTAGGGAAGGTCCTTTATGTGCTCTTTGTTATACCATCTCTTTAAGTTCTCCATTGCCTTCTCCACTGTGGCAGAAACAAAAGGAGAGAGACCTTAGCTAGACTGTGGAACCAACCCAGATGCCCTTCAATAGATGAATGGATAAAAAAAATGTGGCATTTATACACCATGGAGTATTACGCAGCACTAAAAAATGACAAAATCATAGAATTTGCAGGGAAATGGATGGCACTAGAGCAGATTATGCTTAGTGAAGCTAGCCAATCCCTAAAAAACAAATACCAAATGTCTTCTTTGATATAATGAGAGCAACTAAGAACAAAGCAGGGAGGAAGAGCAGGAAGAAAAGATTAACATTAAACAGATACATGAGGTGGGATGGAAAGGGAGAGAAAAGGGAAATTGCATGGTAATGGAGGGAGACCCTCATTGTTATACAAAATTACATATAAGAGGTTGTGAGGGGAATGGGAAAATAAACAAGGAGAGATATGAATTACAGTGGATGGGGTAGAGAGAGAAGATGGGAGGGGAGGGAGGGGGGATGGTAGAGGATAGGAAAGGTAGCAGAATACAACAGTTACTAATAGGGCATTATGTAAAAATGTGGATGTGTAACCGATGTGATTCTGCAATCTGTATTTGGGGTAAAATTGGGAGTTCATAACCAACTTGAATCTAATGTATGAAATATGATATGTCAAGAGCTTTATAATGTTTTGAACAACCAATAAAAAAATTAAAAAAAAAAAAAGAAGACATTGTATTGAAAATGAAGCAAAACTAATTATATGACCCCACAGTTAAGAGTGCAACTTTGTAAAGTCACATGATACATATCTACGTCTGTCTATATCACATGTAAGATGTATTTGTCATTTTAATCAAAGCATTTTATACTGAAAAAGAACACTAAATTACCTTTCCCCAAAATCAAGTTCATTTCATATGTGATAGTTATTGGACAAGATCAATTTTATGAATGAAGTGAATTTATCTTCGTTTTCTTTTTGTTTGCTTTCTTTTTTTCAATTTGGCCAATTATTAAATAAATCCAATGGATGAATTTAAAAATTTTGTACATGTTAATTCAAAGGATGTATATCTTATGTTTTTTCTCTTTTCAAAGCAACAACAAACTAGTGTTTTCAAATTTTGATGCCCTTTTAAATTGTTAGTATTTTACTTCTAATTTCAATTTCCTTAGACATAGTTTTAGCCCAGAATTTTTCAGACTGATTTTTAAAATTAAAAAAATTGCAAATTAATACAAGGGAGGAAAAAAAAAACCCATAAGACTTAAAAATGGTCTTCAGAAGTTGTTTATCCTTGTTTGATTTCCCAGAAAGGGTCTCACCATTAGGTGTTCAGGTTGTTCTTCAGTTATGTGCACGATATTCTGAGTTTTTAATTATATTTGAAATCACTGCCAGTACTCCTGTTTTAAAACAATAAAAGGACATCAAAAGGTCATTTAATAATATGTGCTTTAGAAAAGCAGTTCTTCCATGCTTTGGTGGGGAACACCCATGGCCCCCAACT